TTTGTTTCCTATGTTGGGATTCCATCATGTTCCTCAGATCCTCTATTTTTTTATCTGTGTCCTCTCTAAATTTATTAATCATGTCTTGCACTATAAGCACAACCTCTGCTGTTATCTGAGAAATTATTTCTGATTTCATTTTTCCCAGATCCTCTTTAGCTGCCAGTTCAGGGAGTTCAGATGGTTGAGTATCAGGTTGTTCCATCTCGTTTCCCTTTGGGGTTGCTGTAGGTGATCTGGAAGTCTGTTTTTGAGGCTTGTCTATGTGTCTTCTCTTTCCACGGGGGGGCACCTGCATGGCTCACCTTCTCTGCCCTAGGAGCGAGGAATGGTGGTGGGCGAGCCTCCTCCCAGGTGCTGGGGCTGGCTCATCTTCTCTGCCATAGGAGTGATGAATGAAGGTGGGGGAGCTTCCTTCTAGGTGCTAGGACTGGCTCACCTTCTCTGCCCTAGGAGAGTGGAATGGTGGCGGGCAAGCCTCCTCCTGGGCACTGGGACTGGCTCACCTTCTCTTCCCTAGAAGTGTGGAATGGCGGCAGGTGAGCCTCCTCACAGGTGCTGGGACTGGCTCACCTTCTCTGCCCTAGGAGCATGGAATGGCAGCGGGCGAGCCTCCTCCCGGGTGCTGGGACTGGCTCACCTTCTCTGCCCTAGGAGTGTGGAATGGCGACCTACAGAGCAATATCTAATACTGAGTGAGTGGGGTATAATACTATAAAAGCAGCCCAAAACCTGAACACTGAATGAATTACTGTGAACTGCTTACCCAACATACAACTCTGTGCTTTACCACTTTAACTTTATGAGCCACAATCTCATCTGCTATTTTTAAAAAAGGAAGTGGGGAGAGCAATTAAAGAGTAGATATAGGTTGAATAATCCTAATTCAAAAATCTAAAATCTAAAATGCTGCAAAATCTGAAATTTTTGAGCACCAACATGAGCCACAAGTAGAGGGCTGGGGATTTCACTCAGTGGTGCCACCTGCCTCACAAGCACAAGGTCCTGAGTTTGATTCCCGGTACCGAAAAAAAAAAAAGGGGGAGGCCAGGAATTTAGCTCACTGGCACCACACCTGCCTTGCAAGCACAAGGTCATGAGTTCAATCCCCAGTACTGGGGGAAAAAAAAAACAAAAACATGAGCCACAAGTAGAAAATAATTCCATATCCAACTTCATATAATAAGTCACAGCCAAAATGCAGGTGTTCTAAAAAATATTGCATAAGATTACTTTCAGGACAAGTGTTTAAGGTGTATATGAAAAATAAATGAAGTTCATGTTTAGATGGGTCTCATTCCCAAGATGTCACATTATGTTTATACAATTATTCTAAAGTCTGAAAAATTAAAACCTGTGGTCCTGAGCATTACAGGTAAAGGATATTCAACTTGTACTTTTGCTAGGTGGTTAAGAAGGTGAGGTAATGTGTAAAACTCCTCGTGCCTAGCCTGTAGTAAATGTTCAATAAATAGCAATTACTTTCATCATCATATAGACTTCCAAAATTCATTAAATGCTTGACAGCCAGGAGATTAGATTCATCATTTAAACTAATGAGCTTTAAAATGATAATCTATGATGCTGTTCATTTACTACTTTAGAAAACAAACATTTACATGCCAGGCCCTGAGCTAAGTCTTGAAAATACAAAACACTAGCACTAGCTTTTAGAAATTACCTTTAGAAACTGTAGCACATTCTCTTTGGTATCTCTGATAGTGAAAATTTTGAGTTCTTCCCAGGTAGACTTTATTTTTGGAAACAGACAAAAGTGATTTAGGGCCAAATCTTGTTATGCAGTGAATGATCAAGCAGATAATACCACTTACTGTTGAAAACGATTATAAAGTAATGAGCCTGATTCCTAAGTGCAGCACATCAATCTCATTCATCTCCATTTCAAAGTCTCTGTGTCTGAATCTAGTCTTTCCTCTCCCTACTTGCCACAAAAGCAGGACTGCCACTCTTTGAGGCCACCTCTCTGCATTCCTCAGTTTCTCTCTATACTCCTCCCAAATGCTCAGCGGAAGCAAATGATGGCCAGTCACATGGCTTTTTCCACTTCTTCCTTCATGGTGCTTCCCATAATCTCTCTCTCTGCCCACTGCTAAGGCCTGACTTTTGTTTAGTTCCCAGGTCAACTTCTGTTCCCATGAGTCTGTCCCATCTTCTCCTCCTGCTGGGGACGCTGCTCTGTCTCCCAGATAGGCATGGTCCTTATTATCTATTTCACTTACTATGCACATAGCATATTCTTCCTACTTATTTATTAAGCTTTGTGTACACAGCACAGCTCTGTTCAAATTATTTTCTTTCTCTTTTGTATGTATGGCATGGTGGGTGAGTTTTCCTATTGGGATTCATGGAGAAATAAAATCTTATACTTCATATATAGCTTTCTACAAATTGGTACAACATTATACAAAAAGGATACTTCACTGCCCACAGAACCTATGACTAATATACAACAGCTACAGGATTTTAATAATATTTAACTATATTTTAATTATATGTATGTTGACCATTCTGTACATGCTTACTGTAAGATTCACTAGAGATGCCAAAAACACCTGAAAAATAAAACTTTGTAACAGAAAGATAAAAAATGAATTGGCAATCAACTCACTTATAAGTTCTTCCACTTCTGTTTTTAGCTTCAAAAATAAGACATATTGCCACTTTCAGTGGACATCATTCTTATCAGCATCCACAGCCTGTGCCAATTCCATACAAATCAAAGAAGAAACATATTTTCTGGTCTGTGAGAGTTTCTGCTTAAGAGACAAGAAAACAAGAGGGAAGTTAAGGGCACATGTACTGTCCCGGCCCACGGGTAAGTCAACGGAGACCCTAGAGGGGGAGTGAGAATGACAAGGGACAAGAGACACAAGAGATGGAGACAAGACAGGTTTCTGATCAAGTCTCGTTTATTG